CTCATAAAAAATACCTAGAAACTTGCACCCACTTGTGAAAGAGATGTACTCTTGCTCTGGAGTATGTTACTGAATATGTTAATGTTGTAATGAAATGCTTCTTCTAATTAAAAAAAAACTATAAAACCTTCACACTGAGAAACAAAAGCAAATGAATCAAAGAAAAAGCACACTTGAAACTAAAAATATATTATCCTATGATTATGAAAATATGGGGGAATATATCTAAAGCAATAATCATAGGAAGAACTATTAGTAGGCTCAGGCTTTACAGGGAGCTTCACCAAGCAATCAATGGCTAGATAATTCCAATTCTATACAAAACCCTGGAGAACAGAAGACATAGTCACAATTCATGTCATAAAACAAATAGAATTCTAACACCAGATTTGACATGGACTACACAAGAAAATTACAAACCAATCTGACTTATTAATATGAATGTAAAAATCCTAAAGAAAACAACAACAAATCAGCCAAATCACTATACCCCAGGCAGTCATATAGTGACAGAAAAATAGATCAATAAAACAAAATCAAGAGCCCAGGAACAGACTCTACAAATCTATAAACTTAAGATGCTATAAGAGGTCAGTGGCCAAAGGCAATATAGGCAATAAATGATGTTAGGGCAACTGAAATGACTATAAAACCAAAAAACCCAAATCTGACAACATACCTAAATTCCTGACTGTGGAATATCAACTATCAGCAGCAGTGGGGAGACCCATCCTAGCACTGCAGCCAGGAGCCTGAGGAGTTCCCATCTCTATTCAGGTAAAGCTGGATCCTTGACTATGCTGAAGAAAAGAATTTCAGGATGAGTTTGTTGTTTTCAATGCACTTGTCTGAGATGTTTTTAGGAAGACAAATACCATCTCCAGGCAACTTATGAGTTGTGTTGAAGTTAACTCTTATGCGGGAAGATATGCAAACTTGACTTAATTTCTTGCCTGTCCTGCCTCACTAAAAACAAAGTGATAAAAAGTTTTAGAAAAAGTGAAAATACTAGGTCTGAGAAATGGCTCAGTGGTTAAGAGCACTGGCTGCTCTTACAGAAGAACCAGGTTCAATTCTCAGCACCTACATGGCTGCTAACAAACATCTGCATCCGAAACTCCAGTTCCAGGGGTCCGACGCCCTCTTCTGATCTCCACGGGAATTGCACGACACTGGTGTACTTAAATACATGTAGGCAATACACTCATACACATAAAATTAAAAAATAATAAATATTAAAAAAAGAAAAAGTGAAAATATCTTTAAGAGCTTGATGTAAAAAATGATTTTTTTTAAAAAGATTTATTTATTTTCATTTTATGTGTATGCCTGAGTGTGTGTGTGAGGGCCTGCATGTATTTATTTCTGTGTACCATATGCATGTCTGGTGCCCAGAGGCCAGAAGAAGGTGTTGGATCCCCAAGAACTAGAGTTATTGGTGGTTCTGACTTGCCCAGTGTAGGTGCTGAGAACTGAAGCTGGGTCTGCAAGAACAGCAAGTGCTCTAAACTGCTAGTCATCTCACCCACCCAGTAACTGGCCTTTAATTCACATTTTCAATTATGTTTCGCTATTAAAAAAACTGACATTTAAAATAACTTTTTCTAGTTTTTAAAAAAAAAAAAGGAAGAGAGAGTTGGAAGGAGGGAGGGATAAAGGAACAGAAAGATAGTAAAATAATCTGGAAAATACCACATTACCATCCACTTTAACATAAAAGGCTCTTAGAAATCATATGTAAAAAGAAAATCAGCAGAAGAAAGATAAGGAAATGAGTGCTTAATATTTGAAAAGATGTTCAACCTTATGGGTTGAACGTGTTCAACTTTTTCTCTGATGAAAGAAAGCAGATTCAGATCACAAAAAGGAATCACTTCAAATCCTCAGACTAAGAGGAAAAGTTTCAAGGGCTTCCAAAATATGGGTCACTGAAACTCACCCATACACCTGAGAAAAAGATAAATGGATTCCAACATTTGGAGAAATCACTTGCTTTTACTAGTAAAACAGAAGAACCACATTCGATACTCCAGCAATTCTACTGATAAGTCATTTTCAAAGTAAATGAAGGAAGTAAATTCAAGAATATTCACACCTTTAATGCCAGCACTGTGAAGACACAGGTGGAGGGGTCTCTGAAACTGAGGCCAGCCCAGTCTACATATGAGTTCCAGCCCAGTTGGGGCTACAGGGAGACCCTGTCTCAAAACACACACACACACACACGTTAAGTGTGTGTGCACAAACACAAAAAGAATATTCATAGCTCTGTGTGCAAAAGAGAACTGCAATAGAATGTCAACAGTAAGCATGAAACAGTAGAGAAAAAGAATAACCTGCATTCACCAACATGGATTAATCTCAAAAACAAACATAAGAAATCAAAAGATATATGATTCCATTTATAAAAAGATCAAAGATGGGCAAAACTAAAGTATACCAATTAGAAACATCTGTATGATACAATTACAGAGAAATCATCTTATAGAGCTTAATACAGTTTGCAAGATGGAGTTCTTCAAGATATGCTGGATGGGAGAAGTGGGAAATCCAAACTATTAACTGGTAGAGACATTCATTTCTTAACCTGAGAGAGGTTCATTGGGGTTCACTGAATGTTCTCTCAAAACTATTCATTAGGGGTGGGGATTCGGCTCAGTGTATTTGTCTAGCGTATGCAAAGTGCTAGGCTTGGTTCCCAGCACTGCAAAAACAAAAAACTCAAGATCAACAAACAATTGGATGTTATATCATGACAATTTTTTTTTTTTTGGTCTATTTTAAGAAAGGGTCTCCCTGTCCTGGAACTCACTATGTAGACCAGGCTGGCCTTGAACTCATAGAGATCTGCCTGCCTCTGCCTACCGAGTGCTGGGATTAAAGGCATGTGCCACCAAGGCTGGCTTCATGACAAATTTTAAGTGATGTAGAAGATTCAAAAAACTTTTAAGGGGCTGAAGAGATGGCTCAGTGGTTAAGAGCACTGACTGCTCTTGCAGAGGACTCAGGTTAGATTCCCAGCACCCACATGGTGGCTACAAACCGTCCTTAATTCCAGTTCCAGGGCAATCTGAAGCTCTCTTCTGACCTTCGCAGCAATGCACAACACAGGTGCACTCACATACATGCAGGCAATACACTCATACACATAAAATAAAAATAATAAGTAAAATATTTTTAAAAACTTTTAAATTATTTTCGCGCTCATCTGTTTAAAAAAAAATGAAAACCCCATCTTAAAAGTGATCTAATTGTGCAGGGTATGGTGGTACACAACTTTAATCCCAGCACTCAGGAGGCAGAAGCAGGAGGATCTCTCTGAGTTCGAGGCCAGCCTGGTCTACACAGTGAGTTCTAGGTCAACCAGGGTAACATAGTGAGACCCTGTCTCAAAAAAAAAAAAAAAAAAAAAAAACCCAAAACCAAAAGTGATCTACATAAAAAACAATGGTACTTAAAGGGATATTCTTTCAAAAAGAAACACAATACTATTACATTGTTAAAGATATTTGTGTGTTCCCTACCCTGTAAAGTGCAGATCAAGTTCATTTCTTTTTTTAAAAAATATTTTATTTTTATGTGTATGAGTGTATTGCCTGCGTGTGTATGTGCACCTGTGTCTGTAGTGCCTCCCGGAGGTCAGGAGGCAATGAACCCCAGAACTGGAGTTACAGTTAGCCGCCACATGGAAGCTGAGAATCGAACTTGGGTCCTCTGTAAGAGCAGCCAGTGCCCTTAACCACTAAGCCATTGCTTCAGCTCCACAAGTTCATTTCTATAGTAATATTAAGGTGTAAAAGTCCTTAAGGCTTTAAGCAGAAATACAGATTTTATTGACTGGCACGGAAATGAAATGCAGCCCACATTTAACAAAACTCTTAACTTGTTTTTAGTAACAACAGAATTAAGCCAAACCTGTGCTAAGCAAACACTAAGGAAACGCAACAATCATTTAAATGGGGTACAAAGAATGTCGGTCCTAAATTGCCATATAAAAAATTCAAACCAGATCTTTTCAGATCATTACTTAAGGCAACTGAGGGACTAAATGGGAAACTCAATTAGGAACCTGAATTTGATGGATGACAACTCTGTAACTTTAGGGAAATTTCGGTTTCCCCCTACTTTTAAGACCCAATTATGTTCTAATTTCTGAAGCATCTTTTGATGGCGTTTTTATGTGCATTCATTCGGAAATTTTTGGGGCAGGGAGGTACCAATCGCGCAAGTGAAATCCCCAAATCAGCAGCCACCAGCCTCCCACCACACTATGAGCTAGGGATACATTCGAGAGTCTCCCCACAGCCCCCTAAACGTTCTAGGGATAGTCTTCCAGACAATCTCTCTACGATCTACCCTCTAAGACTGCTGGGGTGGAAAGGCTTCAGGGAAACTGGATCTAATAATACGTGAGAGTTAGCTAGGACCTTGCACAGCGTCAAGCCCTTTTTGGGGAATGGAGAAAGTGTAGCTCTGGCGGAGGGGCACAAGCTCGCGTCCACCAGCTGGGGAAGCCTGTCTCCTCAGGTCCTGCCCAGGGGCCCTCCATCTGTCCCGGCCCCACTGCTTCTACTTTCACAGCCAGAGGGTGAGAAAACTGACACCTCGGTACTGCCAAGGCTACGAACGGCCGAGTTACTTCGCTTCATACAGGTGGGTAAACAATGGGACCGCGACGCCGCGTGGAGGGTAAAATTGACTCTGATGCCTAGCAACAAGCCTGAAGGAAGGAGGTGGGGAATAAAGCTAGCCCACCAGTCCACTTCCCTCCTTCAGGAAGGCGTGGGTCAAAAATAAAAGCCCGGAACCCAGGTCTCATTCGGCAAGAACCCGTGCCTTCTACGCATCTGGGTAACTGTCATCTCCAGCTCTCGACTCCCACCCCACCCCGCCACCCGGTGGGCTCAGCCTTCGGGAGGACAGGAAACTGGAAGGTCGCGGCGTCTCCCGCGAGAAGAGCTACCTGAGATTTTGCCGCCGCCCGGCGCCGCAGCCGTCAGCCCACTTCCAGGGTCAGGCAGCCACAAGGGCTGCCCGAAATCCCAACCCGGTGGCCTCGGGCCCAGCCCTCAAGCCCCGCCTCCGCTGTCCCGGGGCGTTCGGACCCCAGGAACTTCCGGAACCCAAGGGTCACTAAAGGCAGATCCGCTTTCCTGAACGCAACCTGTCCCTCACCCCTCCCCACCTTCCCCACTCCCCCTTCCCCCGAGGTGCCGCGGAGCGGTAAGACGCTTCCGATAATTTGATTGGTGAAGCTGGAGCATTGGTCTCCGCTGATTGGTCCAGAAAATCTGCTGGCGCGCGCTCAGTCTGCTGTCGGCTTGTTTCCCGCTGGCAGTAGATGTCTGGGCAGAGCCATGGCGGACGTAATGGAGTTACCGAGGGCCCGCATCAATGTCAGCATGCTAGCGCAGTTCATCGACCGACCCGTGTGCTTCGTAGGGAGGCTGGAAAAGGTGCGCGTGGGGAGATGGGGGACCCCAGGACCACCAGGGTGTTGATGCAGAGAGGGAGCCTTCTAGAAGCCATGGAGCAGCCTAGCCTTCCGGCTGCTTCATTTTTCACAAGGACTTCTTCCCCACTCTAGCCATTGTAGCTAGCTTTTATTTTCAGCACTTCCGCCCGTATTTTGTACTTACCTGAAGGAAATACAAGGCTCCTAAACTGTTTCTGGGGTTAGGCAGAATTGACTGATGTCCGCTGGGAGACTCTGCTTGTTCCCCTGAAGTCCTCTGCAGTTGTCTGTGTCATGGGCCTGGTTTGGGTGTTGCAGTTGCTTCCCTGTAGTACTCCGGGGCAGCCGGTTATCTTAACTCCAGAGTTACCATCCTGCAAGTGAGAAACAGGCCCAAAGTGTCGGAATCTGATTGAGAAAGCGGAGGGGAAGAAAATCATTTTGGAGGGTTTGTTTACTAGCTCATTTCATTCACGTATCTTCAAAATGAAAGAAAACTGAAGCAGCGTTAGCTACTTCACTGAAATGCTCTGCGTCACAGCGAGGGGCAGATCTCACTACACTCCTTGCCTAACAGTTGTCTCGTGCAGAACTCAGATCTGGCAATCAGTTCTCTTTTTACTTCATCCTGCTTGATTTTTAAAACATAACTTCTGTGAGAAATGTATAATCTAGCTAGAACATAACTTTGATGAAATTTTTAAATGTTTCTGTGGATTTTTTTTCTAATTCTGTGGGTTTTTTTGTTTTTAGATTCATCCCACTGGAAAAATGTTTATTCTTTCAGATGGAGAAGGAAAAAATGGGACCATTGAGTTGATGGAGCCAGTATGTTTAAGTGTTAAGCTCTCATATATTTAATATTTGTTTGGGTTATTACTGTTTCTGATTTTCGAGGTGGATATTTAAAGATGAATTGGTAAAACAATAGTTTACAGTTAAATCGATGTCTTCAGCTTTTGTTTCCCTTTCCATTTCTAACCTTTTTAAAAAATATATTTTATTTACTATTTTTTATGTATATGAATGTATTGCCTGCATGTCTGTAAGTGCATCCATGTCGTGCAGTGCCCAATCAGAAGGGGTGTTGGATTCTCCTGGAACTGGAGTTATGGACAGTTGTTAGCCACCATGTGGGTGCTGGGAATATAACCTAGGCCCTCTGCAAGAGCAGCCAGTGCTCTTAACCACTGAGCCGTCTCTTCAGCCCCCCATTTCTAACCTTTAATGATTTTGGGGGAGGGGCACCATGATTTTTTAATGTCTGTTAAGTGTTGGTTGGATAATTATTCCTTATACTTCACCAAATACCAGAAGATTGCAGAAGAAAATCTGAAAATTACTTCTTCTGTATTCAAAAGCCTGGCCTTAGTCATGGACCACATCACCATTCTACTTTCTTTCCCCTTTTTTTGGTTTTGTTCTGAGTCAGGATCTCCCTATAGCCCCACCTGGCTTAGAATACTCAGAGATCTGCCTCCTGGGTGCTGTGATTAAAGGCATGTGCCACCATGCCTGACCCTATTTCTCATTTTTAATTACATATATTTTTAGTTATTTTTGCATTTCATGTTTAATGTACTGAAAACATCTTTGTCTCTTTTTTTTGGCTTTATTTTGATTTTATGTGTATGTGTGTTGTGCAGTGCCTACAGAGAACATAAGCGGATCTTGGATCCCCTGGAATTGGAGTTAAAAACAGTTGTTAGCCACCATGTGGGTGCTGGTATTCTAACCCAGGTGTTCTACAAGAACAGCCAGTGCTCTTAACTGCTGAGCCATCTCTCCATCTTTTATGAAGACAAATCCATGTATTGATTAGTTACTCTATATAGAACACACATAAAATTATAGACAGTTCCTCCCAGTGAGTTTTCAGACTAGTCATTTCTTATAGGAATTCTGAACATCCTCAGTGTCTTTAAGTGAGTTTGGTTTCGGCTTAAATGTTTAACTGTCTTTGGACCTGAAGCTACTATAGCATGCTGTCAGTTATATATTCAAAGTGGGTTTTTTTTGGACAAGCTGTATTTAAGTGTTTATAAAGTTACTTTTTTATAGTGAACAACTATTAAACTGTGAAGCAATTTGGAAAATGAGTATACTGTAAAAGCTTTCCGAGTAATTATCAATTGTTCCATGTTTTAGCTTAACCAAGAAATCTCCGGAGTCATAGAAGTAGTTGGAAAAGTCACACCC